CATCCATCAGGAGAGGAGTAGTTGTCATACCCCTCATCCTTCACTTTCTCTTCTGTCTAAAAGGCCTTAGTTAGAGGGGATTTGGTGTCTCTCTTGCGGCTGGAACGGAATTTGCCTGCACACACGCCTTGGTGACCATATTATCACATCATCAGACGTGGGCGTGGTTGGACTAGTATGGTGACTAACCCGGGGATTAATAAACTTGCCTGTCGATGTGTCAGTAGTTTTGCTTTTTTATCTTGAGTGCTACCAACCTCCTCAATTTGGCATTCGTTTCTTTACTTTCACCAACTTAATGAATGGAAGTGGTAGTGTGGACCTTGGCCGTGGACAAAGTTGGCATCTTGTACCCACTTCAATTGTCCTAAATCGGATGACTTGTCCCTTCTGTCACCTTGTGGGTCTTTCTTTGGTGTAGCTGGTGAGGGGTAGACATATTAATAAATAAAATTGCCGATTGACCTTATTGTAAGGAGGCAGCCTACCTCCATAAGGCTACACTTTGCCCTTATTTTTCTCTGAAAAGCACTGAAACATAGATGCCTCTAGTCAGAGGCTCGATTGAAACCACTAAATCTCCTACCTCTCACTTACCGCGGCGGTGGCAACTCAGGGGAACCCATAACAACATTTTATCGTCCAAATTCCCTCGACTAGCATAGCTTTGGCTACACTTTTGGTCTTCGCTTTTGTTGAATTCCATTCTCTCTACAATGGAAGGTTTTAAATGGAGAGCTGCTTTGCAGCCACATATAATATTAACAGCTATGAGAGAGCGACACGAATTCTCATCTTATCATTCAATCGAAAATATTTTTTCTTGTTGCTAGGGTCCACCTTGCTCCGGTATGGGCGTCTGCGATTGTGGCCAGTGTTTCTGCAACTCCGGTCGAACTGGTCAATTGTGCAACGAAGTGCAAGGCGGAGAGTCAGCGCTGTGCACCGATCGCGGTGTAGAGCAATGTGTGCTGTGTCTACGTCGTGAAATGCTTGGCACCGACGAGGCGAAAATCGCGGAGGAGGCAGAGAAGCGCCCACCCTATGCTCCGCCTGTGACTGTCAGCTCTGAGGCTGTAGCCGCTTGTCAAGCGGTTTGTAATACTACCGTCATTGATACAAACAAAGTGCAGATCATTGATGAGGTGGAGGAGGAGGGCAAAGAAGATGTGGGAGAAGGAGGTGGAATTGGTGGTGGCTCTGGTAGCGGAACAAACCTCTGTATCATCTACACGGAAGACTCGTGTCGTGTGATGTTCAAGTATCGTTACTCAGATGCCGTGTACATCAATCGAAAGGTATGAAGGTTTTTTTTTGGCAGGTAAGGTATCTTCAATGATCTATTGCCATTCTTAAACCTCCTGCCTTTACTCATTCTCTTCCAGGTTGACCTCAAGATTGTACGTAAAAGTGAGTGTACTAAGACCACGGGCATTCTCTACATCATCCTTGGCGTGATTGCGGGCATTGTTCTGGGTGGTCTAATCCTCCTTCTCATCTACAAACTTGTCATCACAATTGATGACCGTCGCGAATTGGCCAAGTTCAAGATGCACAACGAGAATGTGCACTGGGAGATGGCAGAGAACCCAATCTTTGAACCACCCACCACGCGAGTCATTAACCCCACCTTCGCCGATGACACCGCCTTTGAGTGAAATGCCGCAATTTCGCGCTCCCTTGTCCAGTTCATACCTCCTCTGTTTCAGTTCTAGCTTTCTTTCCTTTGCTTACGGCGACCACTTCCATCCCGCTCCCTAGTACTATTTCGTATGACAGCACTCACTCCCACACATTACGGGCATATGTAGACTTATATTAATTCTTTGTAATGAATACGCCTATTCTTTCATTTATAATATGAATATACACGTGCGCATATCTCTGCGGACCCTTTGACCGATACGAAGTAGTGAGTCGAGTAACCGCTGCCTTAATATACGAGGAACTTTGCTTTCTTGCCTTAGTAGTCTGGATGTTTTGAGCCTCAAGTGGTTAATTATCTGGTATGTTCCCTCTTCCAATTCCTGCTTGTTGAAGTGTGAATTGAAACTTTTTTAGGAGAATCGTATTGTTCATACTGGCCAATAGCAATCTGATCTTCCTTCATTTAGCCAATAAGAGATGAACAGGATATCTCAGTTGCTTGTCTCGCGATTCTCATTGGCTCGCCGTAGTCATCGCTGCTACCGCTTCGTTCCCAGTAAACCCGTGTGGCGCTGGCATGACGTAAATGAAACACCGTTTCTTTGTGGACTAGCTGAGCCATGCATCCCACATTTTAGGATAGGAGTCCGTGCTCGGATAGCTCCGTCTTCTCAATCCCACCCGAGGAAATTCCCCCACGCATCAAACTGGACGACCAGACTCTGAAACTGCTCGAACGACTGAGTTTAGTCAACTTTAATAAAGAGGTGTGTTTGTACCTTTGAACAGTCAAAAACTAAGTTCTCACTTTAGTCAATATTGTGGTCAATTTGCGGCAGATGTTCAACACCTTTAAGTTTGTAATTCTGCTTTCTGTTCCTTCTCGCCCACCTCAGACAACAAAAGCAATCGTGGAAGAGGCCATCCACTTTGCTGACTGCCTCCTTACTCCAACGGCCTTCAGAAATGGGAATACCAGAGCAACAGTGCAGCCGATGTTCAGTCTACTCGGTGAGGAGGGCTGGGAGCCGGTGGAGAACATGGAAGAGGAGGAAAAGGAGGATATTGATTCAATTTCCATCACTGCTACTCACATCCTCCGCCATGCCCCAGTTGCTTGGGAGAACTACTTTGTTGCACCCCCCGGTAATCGTCCCATCCATCCCGAACTGAATGTGAGGGCAGAATCATCAAACGATTAAACTGTGAATATTCGTATCGCCTTTCTTGATCATTTTAAGCTCCTTCCTCCCTTCAATTAATGCGTTCAAATTTGTCATTGTCGCCACAAGCCCATTCTAATTTGATAACTGAGTTAAGGCCGAAATTTGCAAGCGTCACTATCTCCCAATTTCCACTATTTTGCGGTATCAGACTTGGACATGCAATTGAGTGCCCTCTGACACTAAGAAGACCGGTCTAGATTTTCCCGTAAGCCATGAGATCGTAAGTGCAGGTTCTACCCACATCAAAACTGACGGAAGAATATCTACCTTAATCTCACTTTCACCAGGGAATAGCCGAAAAGGTTTTTTGCTTTGCTGAAATAAGTTTCGCATGAAAAATTCAATTTTAGCAAATTTGAAACGTTAAAATGCATCGGTTCTTCATGCTCTTACGAGGGTGCATTGTCATCCATATCAGGACGTAGCTCTATAGCCAAGAAAAAGTGAGATTGCAGAAATGTGAAGTGTACCCATACCAGCGACCGACCGCCTAGTCATTCTGCGAGTAATGACGGACGCGACGGTGGTTCCCGTATCAGTAGTAGAGTTCGCCTCCTTACTTTCCATTTGCTGCTGTTGGTGCTGACACTGTGCCTGCTTCTCTTGAAGGTATTCCTGGAAGCGTTTACACGTGTCAGAGGGCAAATAGAGCCGTGTTAATGGTCGGTTCTGCATGGCAGTTTGTTAGGGGACAGAAGTACTCCGGTTAGGTTGAGTCCCTGTCCTGTTTTGACGGTCAATATTGTCCGTTTCTAGAACAACCACCAAATGACAGAATTACCACACCTCGTGTACAGCGCACGAAGATCGTCAAATAGAAAACACTTGAATAACACAGATAGCGGTTAAAAAATGCATCCACTTTAATAATTCAAATAAAAAAGCCAATAATCAGATCAATAGAACATGCTGATATGAACTTCTCAAAAATGCTAGGGAACAAAAAGAAACCGCACAAAAGGATGGTGCGTTAAAAATGAGTCTAGGCCACAAATAGTCGCAACGAGAAAAATGCCAAAGGCTTGTGTTGAGTAAGACCCACTTTGGGGAAGAAAAATGCTACTCAAGTGAAGTAAAACATCGAAAGTGATCGCAAAGTCCAAAATAAGAGAAATTAGACATAAACCAAGAGCAAACCACCGACAAATTAAGAGATCGCAACTGAACATTCAGCACGTAGTTGGCCATTGCACAAATTACAACATCGAAAAAAAGGCTGATGTTAGAAGACTGATTACTATTACATTTATTGTATTTTTCTAGCAAAATGAAAAAATTTTGCAATATGAAAATGCTGATCAATATAAACGCGAGATCATTAGAAATTTATAGCTAGTTTTGAAGTTAGGGAGTGGAAAAATAAGAATACTTATTCAATGCTTTTAGTCACGGTAAGGGATTTTTCATTATTTTGTTTGAGGATTGACAAATTTTCACATAAATCCTTTATTTGTTTCGAAAAATTTTAGTTGTTATTATAATGCATAAATACTTTACTAATAGTATTTAATGATTAGTGAGATTCTTTCACAGCACCAGATTGCTTGACCTTGGGATTATTAAAATAGCCCATTTGTTGAGCACTTTAACTTCCTCGGCGTACAGGTGAGGCGTGTTTGGCGGTTTGCACCGATGGCTAGTGCATGAGTATGGTTTTTAGGTAATCTAAGCTAAGCATTGGGCGTGTAGTACTTTGCTGACATGAC